GGGGTGGGGGTGGGGGGTGGGCAGGACACACCAGTTGTGGAGAAGGAGGGCTTGGGGATCTGGGACTCGGGTATGGGACAGGGTTCCACCTCAGGGCATGGCTGGGACATGGGTTCAGGGTTGGTGAAGGTCTGATGTCTCATTTCCTCCCTCCATTTCTCTCATCTCCTCTCTGGTTCTCAAGCAGGACTCAATTACAAATTAGAGACTCAGACCCCGAAAAAATGAGGGTGCCCCCCAGAGCCCTCCACACCACATCACTCAAAAGAAACAGTCTTCATAAAGGACATAGAAAGAGGTCTCAGAAAGTTCTAGACTTTCACACAAGGATAGCCTACAGTGGTCGGCAAACTGCGGCTCGCGAGCCACATGCGGCTCTTTGGCCCCTTGAGTGTGGCCAAGAAGTTTCAATCGCACTGTACGTGCGCGCCCGCAGTTTGCCGACCACTGGCCTACATCATGCCATCATCAGCCTCCTTACAAGGTAAGGAAACTGAGGCATAGAAGGTTAAGTGACTTGCCTGAAGTCACTGTGTCCTGAAACCTCCCTTAAAGCTCTCCCACCGTGGAACCCCAGAAATACCCCAAGGGGGGGCCTGGATGGGGACAGGGTACCTTTCCTCAGAGATTAAGAGACAGGGTGAACCCGGTGGCCTAGGCTGTGCTCCTACCTGGAGGTCCAGGGTTCAGGCAGAGCTGTAGGTTTCTAATGGCCTCCTCCACCTCCTGTCTTGGGCTCCCCCGAGACCCTGGGGAGACAGATGTATATGAAGTCAGGGAGAGAAGGAGAGAGGGGACGGGCAGGCCTGGGTCCCACCATGAGGGGCCCCTTCAACTAGCCTAGCCCCGAACTCTCGCATCTGGGAAAATCTTACTTTAAACCCAGAAGGATTCCAGATGTCACTCCCATTTCATAGACGGGAAAGTTGAGGCCAGGAGAGGGGCCCTGGCCCTGGCAAGGCACTGTTTTTGTCTCCTGCCTCTAGACCCTCACTCCCGACCCACGGCCCCCACAGAGTCAAAAAGTTTGCCCACCCCTGGGCTAGACCCTCACTCCCCACCCACGGCCCCCACCTAGGATAGTCTGCTCACCAGCTGGGTCACTCTGGAGGGTCCCTTGGGTGAACAGGTGGACAGGGACCTCAGGTCGGAGAGCCCCTCTCTCCAACAGGGAGTCCTGGGGAGGGAGCAGGGGTGAGGGGTGCCCCAACCCCTGGGGAGAGGCCTGGGGTGAGTAAAGGGCTCCGGCTTCCCTCCCCAATTTAAAGATCCCCTACTTCTCCCTCTGCTCAATCCCACTGTGAGGGTACCTCCTGTGTCCCCCACCCTGAGCCCTCACCTCACTGCCCCGCTCCATGAAGTCAGCGTCAGGACCATCTTCTGGACAAGAGGCCTCGTTGGGGGTGTGGGGGCCTGAGGGAGGCACAGAATTTGGGGGGTTGCAGAGCCTGGCCCCATGCGGAGGGAGGCACTTGCCATTTATATCCCCCTCTGCATGGTGAGCCGCAGAGCAGGCTGGGAGCATGGCAGGGGTGTGAGTGCAGAACAGCTGTGGGGCAGGTAGGAGCAGGTGAGCAGTGGGCAGGCATGGTACTCACAGGGTAGCTGGCACTGGCTCATTAGCAGCTGGCCCACCTTCCGGAAAAGCCTGCCCAGAGGCTGAGGAATGGCAAAAATGGGTGGGCTGTGGCAGGAGTGGGGTGGCAGCCGGTCCGGAGTGAAACCCTTCAGAGCGGGGTGATAGGGGTGGGCACCCCACTCAGATTGTCTGGCTCCTGAGTACCTGGGCCACCTGGGGTCCTGACCCTCCCTGGACCTTGGCTGAGACACCCCAGAGAAGGACCCAGGCATCCAGGGGCCATCACCTGCTGAATGTCACACACCTGCGTGAAGAAGTTGTCCTGCAGTAGGTGGTCCAGACTGGGCCGCTCGGCCGGGTTGGGTGCCAGCAGGCGGGCAATGAGGCGACAGGCATTGGGCGACACGTGGGCAGGCTCCTGGTAACGGCCTTCTCGGATGTGTTTATACATCTCTGACAGGGAAGCCGCCACGAAGGGTGGGTCGCCAGTCAGCACCATGTACCTGAGCGAGGGAGGGGGGCAGGAGCCTAAGTGCCTGCTGGCTTCTGTCCTGGGTTGGCTCAGAGTTGGCTCACACCTACCTGAGTACACCTGGCCATACCTACCCACCTTTCCCTACTCTATACATGCTTCCCATCCATCCACATTCCCATACACACCCTACATCCCCTCCCACTTGGCCGTTCCTGTCTGCTTGGTAGACACTGGCATCTGTAGACACCAGCTTATACCTGTACATACCTGAATGCAACTGTGCAATTTTCTTTTCTGCGTGCTCACACCTGCTCCACTCCTGCATGTACTTCCCTGTATATAGGCCCTGATCTGCCTGTGCACCTAGCACCTACACACACTTGTCAACACATATTTTTTTAAAAATATTTTTATTGATTTCAGAGAGGAAGGGAGAGGGAGAGAGAGATAGAAACATCAGCAATGAGAGAGAATCAGTGATCAGCTGCTCCTGCACGCCCCATACTGGGGATTGAGCCCACAACCTGGGCATGTGCCCTGACCGGGAATTGAACCTGGTTCATAGATCAATGTTCAACCACTGAGCCATGCCGGCTGGGCTCAACATATCTCTGAATAGTCAAACCTCCCTTGCACATACATCCTCCCATATCCCTATTCATACCTGCATGCTCAAATGATGGCTGATGTGTGCTCCTCCCACCTGCCCCATATCTGCACATATCTGTTCACATCTGTCATGTATATGCTCATACCTGCTGTCCCCCCACTCAACTTCCTGTGTACTTCCTTTTACCTACCCTTACCTCCTTGCATGTTCCCACCCACCCACACCTGGCACTATCCAGATACTCCTGCCCACTCCCCCAGGCCCAAGCTCCTAGGACCCCACTTACATGATGCAGCCCAAAGCCCAGATGTCTGACTGGCAGGAATGCCCATTCCTGGAGACAACCTCTGGGGCCAGGAAGTTTGGGGTCCCACAGAGCACTCTGGGAGGGGATAAGGGGGGACCTCAGGAAGTCTGCCAGACCAAGGTCACCTGTGCCCACCCTGAGAGACTGCTCCAAGCCTCCACCCTCACCTGTGGCATCGGCCCCCTGGCCCCACCCTGGCAGCCAGCCCCAGGTCCCCGATTTTCACCTCCATATTCTTGTTCAAAAAAAAGTTACCTGCCAGTGGGAAGGAGAGGCATGGACATAAGAGGAGGAGTCAAGTCCCAGCTCCCATGGACCCCACGGTTCCCACAGCTCCCCTCCCCGCACTCACTGAGCTTTAGGTCTCGGTGCACAATACGTTGCTGGTGCAGGTAGCGGAGGCCGCTCACCAGGCCCCGCAGGTAGTAGCGTACCTCAGGCTCCGTCAGCGTCCGCCGCACCTCCAGCACGTGGGCCAAGGACTGCAGGTGACAGGGATGAGCTCAGGTGTACTTAAGTGGGCAAAGTGAGTGCAAGAAGTCTGTGAAGGCATCACTAAGTTCAGCTGGGGGCATGGGGCATGGCTAAGGGCAGGAGGGACACAGGTGGGCACAGGTACCACGATGAGTATGAGATGAGCCTGGTGACCACGGAATAAACTGGGCACAAATGAACACAGGTGAGCCCAAGAGAGTCAAGCGAGCCTGGGATGTGCACAGGTAGGCCTGGTGTGGGCCCAGGGAAGTGCGGTGGAATGCAGGGGAGGATGAGGTCAGCACAGCAGGCATGGAGGTGTGCAGGCGCCCTCGCCGCCCCACCCCGGACACCTTGCGGCTGCAGTACTCCAGCACCATGTACACGTGGTCACGGTCAGCAAAGTGTCCGTGGAAGGCCACGATGTTGCGGTGTCGTAGGCGGCTGTGCAGGGCGATCTCTTGCTCCACCTGCAGGCACAGTCCTATGTGTCCACACCCTGCACGCAGGATCCATACCCATAGGCATCCACCCGGGCCTCAGGGCAGGGCTCTCTCTGGAAACCCACTGGGGGCATGGGGACCCTGGGCACGGAAGGGGGCCATACCTTCCCAAAGGGGCGCAGACTCCGGACCCCGGGCCCCCCACGCGGCACCACCTTGAGAGCAAACACAGTGCTGGTGGACATGTCCGTCAGCTTATAGCAGCGGCTGAAGGCACCCTTCAGGGAGGGATTCACAGGCTCAGTGAATAGGTGGCCAGGCCGCCACACACACACACACACACACACACACACACACACACACACACACACACCTGAGACGCAGACACACAACTCACACCCTCATACCTGGCCACCTTGAGAGCAAACACAGTGCTGGTGGACATGTCCGTCAGCTTATAGCAGCGGCTGAAGGCACCCTTCAGGGAGGGATTCACAGGCTCAGTGAATAGGTGGCCAGGCCGCCACACACACACACACACACACACACACACACACACACACACACACACACCTGAGACGCAGACACACAACTCACACGCTCATACCCGGACACTCAATGCAACACCTGGGAACAAACAAACACAGGGACACATCCACTCAGGCACAGAAAGCAGAGAGATGTGCAACCCATTCAGACACACACACACACACACACGCCTGGAAACGGCAGGACAGGGTTTAGAGAAAGGCACAGAGATCTGTCACACCCTCGGTGGTCGCATACCCACACCGCTGGACACACAACTCAGGGACACAGCACAACCCGCCAAATACTGGTTCCCGCCACACAACGCACGCCCTACAGACGGTTCACGGCAGACCAGGCGCCCAGACCAACGCCAGACCCCAAACTCGCGCGGGCACAACACGTACAGAGACGAAGCCTGGCGCGCACCCCGCAAACAAGCTGGTCTCACGCCACCCCTCTACGCTCAGGATCCGCGTGCACAGCCCGCCCCGCCCGGACCCCCGCCTGGCCCGTCCTGGCTGTGAA